TTAATGAGGGGGGCAGCGGAGTGAGCAGACTCTTTAAAAGGTGTCTGTGTGCGTGCGTGAGTGCGAGTTGGCAAACCCCCCACCCCTCCTCATATGTTGTTCGGCCCTTCATAGGTGCTCGCCAACAGCACTTGCCCCAACAGTAATGTTAATGCTATACGCGCGATCTCCCGTCTTTGTGAGAGAGTGTGAGTGACAGTGAGTGAGGACAGAGAGTGTGCTGGTGTGTGATTTAGAAAGAGAAAGCGGTGGTGTAGCGGTTAGCGCGCTGCACTACGAACCTGGTGACCCGGGTTTGATTCCCACTCACGGTCAACACCAGTGACGATTATCTGAAACGGTCCTGGGACTCCCCTAGATCGACTCAGCCTCAAAAGAGTACCTGGTGCGCTGTGTAGTAAACATCGCCACTGTGGAGACAAATGCGGCCGAGCGTGGTGCTGACCACCCACCCCCTCGTGTGCCGTGCCGGCCTTCATAGGTACTCGTTAACAGCACTTGCCCCAACAGTCTGGTAAAGGCTATACGGGGGATCTTTGTCTCTGTGTGTGTGTGTGAGAGTGCGAGTGTGAGAGAGGCAAGTGTGAGTGTGTGTGTGTATGTATGTGAGAGGATGTCTGTGAGTGTGAAAATAAAACAAAGACAAATCCTTTCACATACACTCACACTATTCTCTCTCTCTCTCTCACACTCTCTCACACTCTCACACATTCACTACCGTACACAATCTCAACACACATGCTCTCACACCTTCATAGGTGCTACTTGCTAATAGCACTTGTCCCAAAAGTCTGTCAAGACTATACTGGGGATCTTTGTATTTGTTTGTCTTTGTGTGTGTGTATGGGGAGCCGTATAGGATGGTAGTTAGCGTGCCACGAACCTGGCGACCCGGGTTCGATTCTGGCTCACGGCCAACACCAGTGACGAGTATCTAAACCAGTCCTGGGCCTCCCCTAGGTCAACTCAGCCTCAAATGAGTACCTGGTGCGGTGTGTGAACATCGCCACTGGGGAGACAAAGGCGGCCGGGCGTGGTGCTGGCCACCCATCCCATCGTGTGCCGAGCCGGCCTTCATAGGTGGTGCTCGCTAGCAGCACTTGCCCCAATAGTCTGGTCAGGCTACACGGCTAATCTTTGTCTTTGTATTTGGTAGGATGGGTAGTAAGCGCGCTGCGCTACGAACCTGACGACCCGAGTTCGATTCCCGCTCACAGCCAACATCAGTGATAAACACGTGTCTGAGCTCGTCCTGAGCCTCCCCCGTGTCAACATATCGGCACTGGGAAGACAAAGGCAGTCGGGCGTGGTGCCGTGATGGCCCCAATAGGCGCTCGCTGAGAGCACTTGCTCCAACAGCCCGTGCAGGCCACACGGGGGATCTTTGTGTCTGCGTGTGTCTCTGTGTGTGAATGTGAGGAGTGAGTTCGAGAGGACCCACGTGTGTGTAAATGTCTCTGTGTTTCTATTGAAATGTTGAAGTTACCTGTCTGTTCTTAGCAATCTAAAATCCCGCCCCCGCCTGCCTACACCTCCAATCACCAGTCCCTCCTCATCCGCTGTTCCTGTTCTTGAGTAATCTCGCGAGCAACAAGAGTAATATCGGCAGGTGTGGATGTTCATAATACCACACCAAGGCGGCTTTCTTGCTTATCAAGCTAATGGATTCTCAGAAATCCAAGCGAAGAAACTCTTTGAGATCAAATGACAGACTTGCATGCAGCAAGGTACTGTACTGTATACAGACACGCGAACTGCACGAAATATTCCCAGTCAAGTTGTTTTGGCTATCGCCTGATCATGCTGGTTGTGGCAATCACCAGCTATTAACTCAAATTGTAAGTTTTATTGTGGGTTTGCTCTCTAACACGCAACCGGTGATGCTGAAGTTGTAACTAATTGGCACGTTTTGTTCCACATGACAAACTTATTCGCTGCGTCGGGGTGGAGTTGAGAACTGCGGCACATTTACACTCACGCGACTCGACCCCAACAAGCCATTATAGTGAATAGTATCGGTCGCGAAAGAACTACGTACTGTATGTTGAACTTCTTCCGCACCGCACGTAGCCAACCGTGCTAATCGGGGACGTGTTAAACCGAATTGCGTTGTTACACAATGTTCAACTGGGGCAGGATGGGTAGCAAGAGAAGATGGTCAATAGCATCAAGGATAATCCCCGGAGCAGCAGCCGAGGTAATGGAACGCGCATCGAGAGAGTACGTCAACCGAGGGAGATGGAGCGATGAAATCAGGTTCGCGTGCAGGCGATAGAGGTGGATTGTTAACATCGCAGGCTCGTGAGAGGATCCGTTGCGTCGCGTGAGTTGGTCGACGCGGCTCGATCATGGCTGGCGACGACGACACGCGTTCATATTCAGCGAGGTTGAATGTGGGAATGGGATCACTCGCAAAATTGTGAGAGTGATCAAGTGCTTTGAATATAGCGAACCGAGTTTAGCTGCGGGGGATGTCCGTCGGGAAAGTCGCCTCTGTTTGAGTCGGTTCCAATTCGCGGTGTGTATAATCCCTCACAGTAACCCGCCGTCTCTTCCCTTCTCTGCAAATCGTTGTCATTATACGGCGGCTCAGCGAGCCGACGAGGTCGGGTACTAAACGTCTTCCACTCCCTCTCCTTTCTAAAGGTCACGGCAATCGCCTTAATATACGCTCTAGGGTTACATAATCCTAATTGTTCGAGCGTAACACGACGCCACACGCAGGCAGCGGCGTTCCCCTGCGTTTGGCCGGTACTCATCTTCGTCGGTGGCGCCGAGCCAGTGGGTGAAATTCCACATTCACGCCGGTGGAGGCAAGGGCTGGTGGTAGAAGCACGTGGGTTTTATTTGGGTGGCAAATGCTGCTTAGCGAGCGCCTATTAAGGCCGGTACAGCGGGCGAGGGAGTGTGGGTGGCCAGCCACCCATGCCCGATCGGGTCTGTCTCCTCCGTACTGATGTTTACACAACGCGCCAGGTACTCATTTAAGGCTGAGCCGACCTGGGGGAGGCCCAGGACCGGTTCTGATAATCGTCACTGGGTGTTGGCCGTGAGCGGGAATCGAGTTCGTAGTGCAGCGCGCTGACCGCTACACTACCGCTCTCCATACAAAAAAATACACACCCATTCACACACAAACACACGTACACAACAACACAATTACACACACACACACGAGCAAAGTTTTCCAAACACACATTAAGACCCTAAATACACTACAAGTTAAAGGTAATTCAGATATATCCCCCCTTCCCAAAACAAGAAACCACGACGGTGCAGAAGTATCCCAAATGTGTGAAGAGATGAGCCAACTTCTAAACGAAAGCAAACAACGCTGCTGCAGGCCTCTCTCCGGCTCATCTCCGTGGGGTGACACTCATTGGTGGCACTGTTCACTTTCATCCGTCTCAGAAGGGTGAACTTGGGTGGTGCTGTCTCTTTGGTGGTACCCAAAGGACATTTGGTGGTACAAGGGCACGCCCCAGAAACCTCGCTTTGCGCCAGACATGCACTACCACCACCACCACGGTAACGGTGCGCAGGAGACTTCAAAGCAAAGGTCGGCGGCGAGAGGAACAGAGATGAGAGGAACGGTTGATAATTCTGTTGCATCTGTGAGAGGATTGATGAGGAGAGAACTCCACAGCCACCAGACGCGCCGAGATAATGGAACCAGTTTTTTTGTTGTTATAAAAATTACTTTCGAAAAGTGGAAGTGGCGGAGGCAAAAAGGGGGATTTTTAATTTTCTTGTTATTGAAGTCGCATTAATCTCACGCACGAAACGCCAATATGTGACGAATGATTTATGTCCTCTGTGATTTTGACACAGCAGATGATCGTGCAAGTCGCTGAGATGCTAGTTACGGAGCAAACATTGCAAAATAAAGAGAGGGTACCAACTATTAACAGGTCAAAATAAGAAGGGTATTATTAATTACAAACCTAGATCCTACACCGTACGTAACCAACGCTGCTAATCGGAGGTGCGGGGGACGGACAATAAACTAAACACAAACAAAAAACATGTACTGATTCTAAGCATCAAACTCACAGCTTCTAGATAAGCAATCTGATGAACGAGATGTGAATCACTACAAACAAGAAGGCAACGAGCATTACAATGAATAAGTGCACTGAAAGTTGAGTGTAAAATTAAATAGAAACGACGCTGTCTGATGGTACAAGAGGAAAGCGATGAAACTGGACACTAAAGATCCCTGTAAACCCACTGGGACCAGAGTGAGAACAGAAAGCAGATAAGCTAACACACACCCCAACAGTGGTTGAAGAAGAAAAAACATTTGTTAACAGCACTGTGTCCTTCTACAGAAACATATATAATAGGGGATGTTTCGGGCAATGGCTCTTCTTCATAGCACATAAAGGGTCATTACCCGGAGCGTCACCTGTTATATATTTGTTTATTCATGGCGGTGTTAGTTTCGAATGCGTTGAGTGTTTATGACTGCTAGCAGCCCACCCATAATTTGAACGTGTCCGCCCGGTCCATCCCTTTCTCAATCCAGCTGGCCAGTCAAACTTTTTTCGAATACAGTGGGATTGTGCTTGTGCTTGTGCCAATGCAGTAGCAGTAAAACCACCAAAATAATATCCTGTACTTAACTTTTCACGTCATGATGGGTATTCTGATAATTAATAGATTCAATTTTTTTTTTTATTGAAGACACCAAGCCATGAGCCAGCGTAGCCCATCCTACACCAGTCTAGCCCATCCTATCCTAACGCATCCCAGTCCATTCTAACCCAGCCTAGCCCATTCTAACCCAGCCTAGCCCATCCTAACACATCCCAGCCCACCCTAACCCATCCCAGCCCATCCTAAACCAGTCTAGCCCATCCCAATCCAGCCTAGCCCATCAGAACACAGCTTATCCCATGCTAAACCAGCCTAGCCCCCATCCCAACGCAGCCTATCCCATCCAAACCCAAGCCCAGCCCGTCCAAGCCCATCAAATTCCGTCCCAGAGCAAAACTCACCCAGAAGAGCGCGTGGCAATTCACGGCCATGGTCCTCTCCAGCAGCTCGTCGGGGCACTCGAGAAGGGGCTTGCCCGACACCACGCCGGCGTTGTTCACGAGCACCGTCACGTCGCCCACCTCGGCGCGCACCCTCTCCGCCGCCGCGTACACGCTGTGCCGCGCGCTCACGTCGCACGTGTAGGGGTGCGCGCGCGCCCCGGCCGCGCGCACCCGGCGCGCCGTCGCCTCGTTGCGCGCCTCGTCCACGTCCCACAGCACGAGGGTGGCGCCGCGCGACGCCAGCTCCAGGGCGAAGAGGCGCCCGAGGCCCCCGCCGGCGCCCGTCACGAGGCACACCTCGCCCGCCACGCTCTTGGCGCGCGGCGGTCGGACCCAACGCCAGCACGCGGCGCCCAGCGAGGCGAGGACGCGCAGCGTGGTGAGCAGCAGGTCGTACACGACGCTCGGCTGGGCCATGCTTGCTCGCTCGCTTGGCTTGGCTGTGTCGCGGTGGATGCGGTGTTGGGCGAAGTGTTTCGAGTGCGCCCACCCACCCCTCCCACCCACCAACACACACACACACCCACCCACCACACACACACACACCTCCACCGAGGTCTCTCCGTGTGTGTATCTACTCGCGGGGTCTGTTCGTGTGCGTCTCTGCTTCGAGGTGTATCTTGTGTCTCGAGATCGCTGTGTCCGTCTCGAGGTGCCTGTGTCTCGCGATGCCTTTGTCTCGAACTCTGCGTCTGCCTCTTGAGATACGTTTTGTCCGTCTGTGTTTGTCTCAAAGTCTGTTTCCGTGTCTCAAGATGTGATTTGCTGTCTCAAGATGTGATTTGCTGTCTCGTGCGTTGTCTGTCTGTGTCTCGAGATGTCGCTGTCTCGAGGTTTGCGTCTGTCTGTGTGTCTCGCGGCGTGTGTCTTGCGTCTCGAGGTATACGTTTACCGCAACAGGCGCTCGCTAACACGTGTTCTACAGCGGTGTGCGTTGTCACGCACTTGCCGCGTGGATTTGTTCACGCGCGTCCTACCTAATAGGCGCTCGCTAACACGCCTAAGCGCCAAGGGCGATTGACGTTCGTCACCGTTTCTAGTTCCGCGCGTGACTTAAAAGGTGCTCGCTAACTTGCCACTGGACACATTAAAGGTTGTCACTGGACAAACTTGAGAGGTCTCTGTCCCTGTCCTTACGTCTGCAACTCGTACTCGATGTCTTCAGACTCTTGCGTTCCTCCTCCTCTTCTGTAACTACCTCCTACCCCCTCGTCCACCGGCCCGCGTCGTCTCTCTGTCTCGCTCTGCGTTGGTCGAATCCTTGCGCTCCCCTCTCCTCCGCACCCTCTCTCTCTCTAGCTGTTGCTCTGTGACGCTCCCTCTGGAGCTCTCTCTCTGTAGCCCCCCCCCCACCGTCGTTCCCTAGCTCTCTCTTTAGCGCTCTCTGTCTCCCTTTCTCCGCATGCTCTCTCGCTCTCTCCGTCGCTATCTGTCGCCTGCACGCTTCCACACTCTCTGTGTTTAGCTCTCTCTCCGTAGCTCCGTGTGCGTCCTGTGACCCCCAAGGCAGCGCTTTCAGCTCTGCGTTATAACGTCCACCCTCCTCTTCCTCGCATCAGCATCAGCAGCAAACTGCTGCTGCTTGCTGCTACTAATGTTGGAGCGCGGTGGTTGCTGCCGGCAATTCCATTGGTGCGTCGTGAGCGTGGGGGGTTGGCTGGGGGGGGGTAATGCATAGCGGTGATGGTGATGGTGGGAGGAGGAGATAGCAGTGAAACCCCCGGGATTCACCCTAACAGACAGGGCGTGGGGAAGGAAAGTGTGGAGAGTATGCGTAACGCACGCGTATGCATGTGTGTGTGTGTTAGAGTGTGTAACCAGGTTGACTCAGCCTTAAACGAGTAATCTGGTGCGATGTGTAAACTTATAAGTATTGGGGAGATAAAGGTGGCCCGGCGTGGTGCTGCCCTAACCCTCTCCTCCTCACGCTCCATCCTGGCCACTTTAATAGGGGCTCGCTAACAGTACTTGCCCCCAAAGTCTATAAGACCGTTGGGGCGAGTGTCCGTGTGGGTTGCTCTGTCCATTTGTCCACCCATCACATTCGTTGTACGTCGAGTTTAATCATTTAAAACGTTACATCAACGTCCAGTTTGATATAAAACAACAATCGTGTAACAACTGATCATTTATAGAGCTGAATCTCATCGTGTCCATTGTGTCATCAAACATTAATTAAATTGTTTGGCGATGCTGCTGCGTTGGCAACGGTGCACAATCGTAAATAACTACTCAACGCTCAGGGAAACATCATTGGCAACGTGTCAGGCAATGGCTCTGTTATCTTCGGGGGCAATGGCCTTTCATAGCACACAGGGGTAATTGGGCGAAACGTCACCCATGTTATATATCTATGTTTTTGGTTCTTTCGGTTAAGTCACGTAGATAGAAAATATTTTTTTATTTTACATAGAAAATAACAATGTTTATTTTCTATCTACGTGACTTTACCGAAAGAACCAAGAATATGAATTCCTGCGGTCACGAAAGTTTTAAGTTAAAATTATCTATATCTTGATTTAAAACTTTCCTGACTGCAGGGATTCATATATAAGGGAAACAATCAAATAAAAAAAATACGATTTGTATTACTTTATTGTTTCCCTTCTACGTGACTTTACCGAAAGAACCAAGAATTATCTATATCTGTCAACCCCTTATCAGAGCCCTACCTTATTACAGACCAATTCAAACCTCATTGGTCACCCCACGCCCTTATAAGTTCTCAACGTTCATCCTATAAAGGCCCATCACAAGGGAGATAAACACCAACAAATAGACACATTTTTTTGCCCGTATTGAAACGGCTATACGCCTTTAGCACCTGAAAACTCAATTTCCCTGTACAAGAATCCAGGTAAAATGTATGGGATGACAGGGTATGTTTGTATATATGGTTTCCCATTGAAGCCACGATGTGATGGACACGTTATTCTTTTGTAACCTGTCGGTTATTATAACTCTACCAGCAGTCAGGCTCATGACAAGGAACGCTGGAGGTCTACAACATGGTATTGGCAAGATAACTCTTCTTGGATGGCAGATCCATTTCATTTAAATGTAGGCACTTTGAGTATGACACCAGACCGGGAGTTCCCGGGGAAAACACATAAACCAGAGGAGATAACACTAGAACTATACGTTCTTCTGTTCGTAACAACCCACTTTCGAAACCGTCTGCTCACCCTATATTTACAGGCAACGCATTGTTTCGTAGCTGTAAGTCCTATCTAGGTAATACACTTTCCACTTTCACGCATAACGTCTAGGAGTACACAAGTGTTTGTCCTTTGTGGCTAGCAGTTTTGTTGTTCTTCCCCCGCACGTACGGTGCTCAACATACATGTCGTGTAGAGAAGCAACATCGTGATTATTGAGTCATGGTCAATCCACTGCTGGATGAAGGCATTCCAAAGCCCACCCCCCCCCCCCCATTATTCACGATCCTGCGATGTAACAATCCACACGGGGCCTGCACTCGAGTCGCTTTATTTGGCTCCATCTCCACGGCGGACGTCGTCTTCCCGGATGCATTCCCTCTCTCTAACCTTTGCTGCCAGCTCCGTCATTATCCTTGGCCACTAGCCACCATCACTCGCAGCGGCGTGTCCTGAGCAGGCCCACTCACTTCTTCTTGAGTTTTAACGATGTCATTAATCTGATTGTGTTCACCTCGTGTACTCCTTACATTTTTATTTACCCACGCTTCAGATCCATGTCTCATCTATTTATCCAAATCAGGTCAAGCCTCCCGTAAATCACGTGACTTGTGTGTGCCCCCCCCCACCCCCACCCTTTGAAATTAGACGCCGCTCCTCCGTGCGGCAGCAGCAGCAGCGTCGAGGTCCTGATGCAGCCTCTTCCTCCCGATCCTCATCTCCCCTGACCCTTTGCTCCCGTATCTCCGTTCCTTTTCAATACTTCCTTATCCTCTCAACTTCCACGCGTTCGCTTCTCTCTTCCCTCTCCCGTTCGTTTATCTTTCTCCATTCATTATTTCCTGAACTCTGCGGCCCCGTTCCCGTGCTGTGTGTCGCGGGGTAAAACAAAAACAAACAAAAAAAAACAAGTTTCCCGTGTGCGCTACAATACTCGTTCATTTGACAAACTTTCAGAGGATAAATGCCACGTTGCAAAAATAAAAAAACGTTAAGAGATGTGCGTGCACGGGTGGTTTTTTTCTCTCTCCCTTCCCCTGGTTTAAAAGCGTTCATTTTATTTTCAAAAAATAAATATGGGAACACTTTCTGAAGGGATTACGCAGCTCACGGCTCACGCCAGAGGAGCCGGCGTTTAGTAAATTGCCGGAGCTGCGTCACATTTGTTGCACAAACACTGCCGAGGCTTTAAATTGATGGCGCGACGCTGCGCTCTCAGCACGAAGTGCGCCTAAATCTCATCTGGTAGCAATTTCGCCCAATCCCCGCTTACACGCACGATATCAATGCGTGCAGATGTTGCTGCTGGCCATTTAGCCGACAGTCTACTCGAGAAGGGCCGCGTATCCAAAGTATTTGGGATGCCTGCCGGTGAGCGCAGCGGTGAGCGCAGCGGACCTGCAACTTACAGACGTGTAGGTTCGACTCGATGATTTTATTATCTCTCGACGCGGCCGTTGAAATACATTTGCAAGTTTCTGAAATCCACCCCTCGATCTCGCACGCACAACCCCCGCCCCGCCACGTCTTTGTCCACCCATCAGCATACATTTTCAGTTTTCAGTTTCACTGTTTAGTTATAACCCTGTGAGCCATGCGGCTCTTGACTCGGATGCAACCGCAACAAAAACAAAAACCCGAACAAGAAACCATCTTAAAGTGACTGCACGCAACAGAAAAATCCTGGAAAAAAACGGCAAAGTCTTCCAGAAAAAGAAAAACACCGTATTTCATAAATAAGTAACATCAGACTGAGTCGATCTGCACGCAGGTCGCAAGTGGTGGGGGTAAAGTGTGGATACCCTCACCTCTGTCAAGACGGTAGGTCAGCGTGGAAGATGCGGTCAAATCATCTCCCAATCTAGGCGGGCTCCCTTGAACGCACTCGAGTGTACGACCCATCGCCAGCAGTGGCGTGAGCGAGGCATTGCAGGGCTGCGCCTTAACCTCTGTACACACGTTGATTCGTTTGGTGACATGCGCGAGACTATGAACGTCCTCGTATTGCTGTGGATGAAAACAAAAATGACTGCTGACTTGCCACCAAATAACTCAGCATCGCAAAGCGGTCCCACTTGTACCAACGCTGGACGGTTGACGGTGACGATTGACGGGTGGGGAATCGACGATGATGATTGCGAGCGGGTGATGAGTTAACTCCCCTTCCTCGACACATTGTCGCGAATCAGGGTCCCCGTTTCATTGCGGTGAATATAGCGGCCTCTAGCGGCTGCATCGGCGATTTCTCCACAAATCGGACTGACGCCTGATGATGCCAGTTGTAATTACCGGCGAAACGTCGTACTCGAATTGTAAATGTTGCGTGATTACTCTCCAACACACCGGCGTTGCTGTACACGTAACGAATCGGCACGTTATTGTTTACGTGACAAACCTTGCTGATTGGCTGTGTCGGGTGGTGGCGGGTTTAACGACGCATTTATGCCCACGTGATCTACCCCAAAACCTCCATGATGGTTGTATCCGTGACCTTGAAGCCAAACCTGCAGCGACAAGTTGCGCGCGGAACAAATCGCTCTCGAAAATCGCGCAGCTTAAATCGCCCGGAACGGCTTTGTCCGCATGTGAGCGAGCCAGTTCGCGCAGCGCATTCAGGATCGTAACGACCAAGTTCACAGTTGTTGGCCAATGTGCAGCACGTGATGAATGGAATTACGTCGCTACGAATCTCTGGGAGAATGGCTTGAAAGTCGAGTCTATAATTTTCGACTGTGAGCAACCGGAATGAAAGGTCCACGTAATAAGCGATTTAGTTGCATGCGACCAAGCCGTTCAACTAATCCATCAGGTGTGGACCCGGCTGATTAAATTCCACTAAAGTTGATACATCGATGATTGTTATCCCCCCCCCCCCCCCTATTCCGTATTGACCTGCAATGATGACGAGTCATAATAAGCAAAAAAAAGGGTAGTTTTATAAATGCCGTATCTGCGTGTTTTACCAGCATCGAACCTGTCACAATTACAGAGGAATCGCAAAGCTGGAAGGCAGTCAACCGAGCGTTGATGAGCCGACGTTACCAACCATTGCCCAAGCTCTGCGGTCCTCTATTTCTAACATGCTCTCAGCCAATTCACGAGTGTTTAAACGTGTGGGGCGGAAACTGAAGGCCACCCGGGGCGACCCCAATTATAGCGATGTTGATGGCAACGATGCTGCTACCTACTGCTGCTGATGACAATGCTGCTGACGCCTTTGGGAAGACCTGAGCTGGGATGTGAACTCGTATTGTCACGTGTTGGGGCGCTGTTTCTCCACCCAGAGAGCTGTAGGCAGACCCAATTTAAAAACCATGCTCTCCGGATTATAATCCCAACTTTCCCCCCTGCAACGTATTCTAAGGCACAGGTAAGGGGTGCGTCTTATAATCCGGTAGGCGTGAGTCGGAGATCCGATTTGTACTCTGTTACATCATACCTGTCAACCCATACGGTTTACCCGTATTCTTGTGCATGGAAATTGAGTTTTCAGGTCCAAACGGCGTACAGAGATTTCAATATGAGCAAAACAACTAATAATTTGTCTATTTGTTTGTGTTTCTCCCTTGTAATGACACTTTGTAGGATGAACGTTGAGATTTATAATGTCTGAATTGGTCTATAATAAGGTAGGGACTGATAAGGGGTTGACAGGTGTATTACATGCAACTCCGAACTCAAACCAGAATGTCGATGATCAAACAAAAAAGCATACGCTTTGATTGTTGAGTTTGGTATAAATACGGGTTGTTTAAACATTCTTCAACTGCAATTCCCCGCGAATTTATTTAGATTATTGTGCTGATAGCAATTTCCATGTGATAAGCCACTTTGTTGAGCTGTCATTTGTGGCCAGGTTGCTTATGAAAAATAAGCTAACAGCTCAGTGGACTTTACTTTATAAGATAGAAAATTGTTTAGTTTTATTTGTATATATATATAAAAAAAATGATTTTGCTTACCTTTCCTAGACTTTGCACTCCTATTGTGTTTTAATATTGCTTGTTATAACGTTCCTACCCGCCCTTAGTGGACATCTGTGAAAAAGAGCTTTATAGCTCATCGGATTCCTTCAGGATAAATACAGATTCTAATTTTTGATACTGGCATGGGTCTGCACGCATGTCCTTTGTTCAGCGGAAACAAATATAAACTCCGAGAATCATGTCTAACAAAACTAGTTTAGCAAATCACGAATTTAATTGATGATTGCTATTCAATTGCGACTGCGATCATGGCATTTGCTATGCCATATATACAGTGAGGGAAAAAAGTATTTTATCCCCTGCTGATTTTGTACATTTGCCCACTGACAAAGAAATGATCAGTCTATAATTTTAATGGTAGGTTTATTTGAACAGTGAGAGACAGAATAACAACAAAAAATCCAGAAAAACGCATGTCAAAAATGTTATAAATTGATTTGCATTTTAATGAGGGAAATAAGTATTTGACCCCTCTGCAAAACATGACTTCTTACTTGGTGGCAAAACCCTTGTTGGCAATCATAGAGGTCAGACGTTTCGTGTAGTTGGCCACCAGGTTTGCACACATCTCAGGAGGGATTTTGTCCCACTCTTCTTTACATATCTTCTCCAAGTCATTAAGGTTTCGAGGCTGACGTTTGGCAACTCGAACCTTCAGCTCCCTCCACAGATTTTCTATGGGATTAAGGTCTGGAGACTGGCTAGGCCACTCCAGGACCTTAATGTGCTTCTTCTTGAGCCACTCCTTTGTTGCCTTGGCCGTGTGTTTTGGTCATTGTCATGCTGGAATAACCATCCACGACCCATTTGCAATGCCCTGGCTGAAGGTAGGAGGTTCTCACCCAAGATTTGACGGTACATGGCCCCGTCCATCGTCCCTTTGATGCGGTGAAGTTGTCCTGTCCCCTTAGCAGAAAAACACACCCAAAGCATAATGTTTCCACCTCCATGTTTGACGGTGGGGATGGTGTTCTTGGAGTCATAGGCAGCATTCCTCCTCCTCCAAACACGGCGAGTTGAGTTGATGCCAAACAGCTCCATTTTGGTCTCATCTGACCACAACACTTTCACCCAGTTGTCCTCTGAATCATTCAGATGTTCATTGGCAAACTTCAGACGGGCATGTATATGTGCTTTCTTGAGCAGGGGGACCTTGTGGGCACTGCAGGATTTCAGTCCTTCACGGTGTAGTGTGTTACCAATTGTTTTCTTGGTGACTATGGTCCCAGCTGCCTTGAGATCATTGACAAGATCCTCCCGTGTAGTTCTGGGCTGATTCCTCACCGTTCTCATGATCATTGCAACTCCACGAGGTGAGATCTTGCATGAAGCCCCAGGCCGAAGGAGATTGACAGTTATTTTGTGTTTCTTCCATTTGCGAATAATCGCACCAACTGTTGTCACCTTCTCACCAAGCTGCTTGGCAATGGCCTTGTAGCCCATTCCAGCCTTGTGTAGGTCTACTATCTTGTCCCTGACATCCTTGGAGAGCTCTTTGGTCTTGGCCATGGTGGAGAGTTTGGAATCTGATTGATTGATTGCTTCTGTGGACAGGTGTCTTTTATACAGGTAACAAGCTGAGATTAGGAGCACTCCCTTTAAGAGTGTGCTCCTAATCTCAGCTCGTTACCTGTATAAAAGACACCTGGGAGCCAGAAATTTTTCTGATTGAGAGGGGGTCAAATACTTATTTTCCTCATTAAAATGCAAATCAATTTATAAAATTTTTGACATGCGTTTTTCTCGATTTTTGTTGTTGTTATTCTGTCTCTCACTGTTCAAATAAACCTACCATTAAAATTATAGACTGATCATTTCTTTGTCAGTGGGCAAACGTACAAAATCAGCAGGGGATCAAATACTTTTTTCCCTCACTGTATATAGTTTCGTGAACGTAAATGTGTTTTTTTGGAGCAAATTAAAATAATTAAGCAGCACAAGTAAAAAGCGAGCAGCTACGCGTTAATGATCATCACGATATGACGATAAGAACAAAACCGGACGATACGATTACCGTGGCTAATATGATACGATTCATTGTCGTCTCGCCATTTAGCTGCGACCCCAGTAACACTCGCCCTACGCGGGGTAAAATAGGACTTCCGTTTTCGCCGGATTATAAGACGCACCCCCCCCCACCCCTAAACCCCGTATTTCAAACCCCCCAAAAACATAAGGGCGTGTATTATAATCCGACACGTGTGTGTGTGTGTGTGTTAGACCATATATTCGTAACGCTATTGGCACCGGGTACCAATCTGTGGTGCGTCTTATAATCCGGCAAATACGGTCAGCCATCTGGCGGCTCATCTTGTGAGGATTCTCTGGTGCGGCAGACACTGGATCGTGATTGGCTGGTTTGTTGCCCAGCCCACACAATCTTCCCGTCTCCTCCCACTGCAGCGAAGTCAGAGGCGTAGCGGATCCAATCACAAGCGAGGGTGAGCTCATCATCAGCATCACCAGCATCGCCAGCATCACCACATCATCACCATAATCACGACCACCAACCACCACCACCCCCCCCAACCATCACTCACCGCATCATTACGTCACCGCCTTCATCTTCGCTGCATCATCATCATCACATCACGGTCACCAGCATGACCGCATGATTACATCACGACCTTCATCTTCGCTGCATCATTACATCAGAATCACCACCATCACTTGCATCATCATCATCATCACATCACGACCACCATCACCTCGTCTCTGCGGACGGAAGCGCAGGCAGCGATGGCAACCTCTTCCAACGCCCTCCACCCCTTCGCCACTTCTTCTGGCTGTCTGCCACCTCTTCTCACACCCATCGACACCCAGCATCACTCACATCCTCACCACTCCCCCAGGTAAGGCGATGATGTCCCGGGAGTCCGTGGAGGCGACAGACGGGGGCTGTCGTGGATGTGGCTCGTGCCGCTGTGTGTGTGTGCGTGATGCCTGTCACTTGTATGATTACATGGTCCGTGGTTGGGGTCTGTCTCCGTTAAGCCTCAATGTAACGGCGCAGCGCGTCATTTAAATGCACGCGATGCATGGTGGCACGGTTATAAAAAGGCTAAAGGCGCAGCCCTGCAATTGCTTGCTCACTGCTGGCGGATAGAGGCCACCCACCACACGAGGGAGCTCTAGATAATCCCTTTTTTGTAAATAGGTTGTTGGCCTACTCCTCCACGCTGGCTGTGCAAACGTCTTGAAAGAGGTGGAATTTCCCACACTCTGCATGAGCGTATACTGCGGCGAGCTTCATAAATCTATGCCGTATTAATAAATGTACCCCTACTACAGTAGTAAGTGATGCACAACTGTGTACGATAACAGGAAATACAGCCACGAGACTCGGTCCAGTCACGACAGAAGAGACGTCGACAACGGGCAGAGCAGAGGCGATGCACGCGCGCACCTGGCTTCTTGACAGACCAAGTGACCGCAGCGTTCGTGAACTCAAGTTCGCCACCTGGATGTGACGCTCTCCGTGGCAGGGCACGTGAGCGAATTAGTCACAATAACCAGCAGCGCCGCCGTGCAGAACGCAGCAAAATAAGCGTGTGGACATGTACGCCCCCCTTCACTGCTCTGTCACCTACACGTGAATAAATAACAGTATATATAATTTTTTACACATCTCATCAGTCGCACGGAGGTCTATCTGGGAGTGCATAATATCAGCGGTACGATGTTGTTTCTACGTTTAACATATACACCAGGGTGAGTCGCAAGTGTCGGATCCAGTAAAACACCTGGAGGATATAATTGGGGGCCTTGACTCGGGCACTGCTGCGCTACAGATGCCCTCGGGAGAGCCCAGGCTCCTTTGAGGCCGCAACAAGTGAGTACCTCTGGTTAGCATCACCACAACACCGCTCACCCACACTCGTAAACCAGAGCTCACATCACCCACAATACTCACATCCCTCCACTGGCTCACATTCCATGACATCACCACAACACCGCTCACCCACACTCGTAAACCAGAGCTCACATCACCCATAATCCTCACATCCCTCCACTGGCTCCCAATCCATGACATCACCACAACACCGCTCACCCACACTCGTAAACCAGAGCTCACATCACCCATAATCCTCACATCACTCCACTGGCTCCCAATCCATGACATCACCACAACACCGCTCACCCACACTCGTAAACCAGAGCTCACATCACCCATAATCCTCACATCCCTCCACTGGCTCCCAATCCATGACATCACCACAACACCGCTCACTCACACTCGTAAACCAGAGCACACATCACCCATAATACTCACATCCCTCTACTCGCTCCCAATCCATGACATCACCACAACACCGCTCACCCACACTCGTAAACCAGAGCACACATCACCCATAATCCTCACATCCCTCCACTGGCTCCCAATCCATGACATCACCACAACACCGCTCACCCACACTCGTAAACCAGAGCTCACATCACCCATAATCCTCACATCCCTCCACTGGCTCCCAATCCATGACATCACCACAACACCGCTCACCCACACTCGTAAACCAGAGCACACATCACCCATAATCCTCACATCCCTCCACTGGCTCCCAATCCATGACATCACCACAACACCGCTCACCCACACTCGTAAACCAGAGCTCACATCACCCATAATCCTCACATCCCTCCACTGGCTCCCAATCCATGACATCACCACAACACCGCTCACTCACACTCGTAAACCAGAGCACACATCACCCATAATACTCACATCCCTCTACTCGCTCCCAATCCATGACATCACCACAACACCGCAAACCCACACTCGTAAACCAGAGCACACATCACCCATAATCCTCACATCCCTCCACTGGCTCCCAATCCATGACATCACCACAACACCGCTCACCCACACTCGTAAACCAGAGCTCACATCACCCATAATCCTCACATCCCTCCACTGGCTCCCAATCCATGACATCACCACAACACCGCTCACCCACACTCGTAAACCAGAGCTCACATCACCCATAATCCTCACATCCCTCCACTGGCTCCCAATCCATGACATCACCACAACACCGCTCACCCACACTCGTAAACCAGAGCACACATCACCCATAATCCTCACATCCCTCCACTGGCTCCCAATCCATGACATCACCACAACACCGCTCACCCACACTCGTAAACTAGAGCTCACATCACCCATAATCCTCACATCCCTCCACTGGCTCCCAATCCATGACATCACCACAACACCGCTCACCCACACTCGTAAACCAGAGCACACATCACCCATAATCCTCACATCCCTCCACTGGCTCCCAATCCATGACATCACCACAACACCGCTCACCCACACTCGTAAACCAGAGCTCACATCACCCATAATCCTCACATCCCTCCACTGGCTCCCAATTCATGACATCACCACAACACCGCTCACACCACACTCGAAAACCAGAGCTCACATCACCCATAATCCTCACATCCCTCCACTGGCTCCCAATCCATGACATCACCACAACACCGCTCACCCACACTCGTAAACCAGAGCACACATCACCCATAATCCTCACATCCCTCCACTGGCTCCCAATCCATGACATCACCACAACACCGCTCACCCACACTCGTAAACCAGAGCACACATCACCCATAATCCTCACATCCCTCCACTGGCTCCCAATCCATGACATCACCACAACACCGCTCACCCACACTCGTAAACCAGAGCACACATCACCCATAATCCTCACATCCCTCCACTGGCTCCCAATCCATGACATCACCACAACACCGCTCACCCACACTCGTAAACCAGAGCACACATCACCCATAATCCTCACATCCCTCCACTGGCTCCCAATCCATGACATCACCACAACACCGCTCACCCACACTCGTAAACCAGAGCACACATCACCCATAATCCTCACATCCCTCCACTGGCTCCCAATCCATGACATCACCACAACACCGCTCACCCACACTCGTAAACCAGAGCACACATCACCCATAATCCTCACATCCCTCCACTGGCTCCCAATCCATGACATCACCACAACACCGCTCACCCACACTCGTAAACCAGAGCACACATCACCCATAATCCTCACATCCCTCCACTGGCTCCCAATCCATGACATCACCACAACACCGCTCACCCACACTCGTAAACCAGAGCACACATCACCCATCATGAGAGCCGTCCCTTTATGGCGAATTAGGGTGACCGGCCCGAGCCCTGCACTTTGGGGGGGGGGGGGGGGGGGCTCCGCGCTTTGTCGGCACGGTGTCAGATGTTGGCGGCCCCACGCGGTGTTGTGAGCTGCCCCGCACACCCCCCACCTATAGACAGACGGCCCTGACCATTAACCTCACTTACATCCCGCTGTCCAAATCCATTCCCAAGTCAACTCCAAGATCACCTTCACTAACCTCACCACGATTCTCAATGGACTTGGCCCTTGCCTATACCGTCTGCCCTCTCGTCACACCACTCGCCTACCCGTGGCTCTCTGATCCAGCAACTGAAGGCCTTGACCCAGGGGAGGAGGTCCGATGATGAATGTGTGACGATCGATGTTGACTGGTGAATTTCATCATCGCGTGATGAAACATTAAACATCCTGAGGACCTCTCTACGTGCCCCCCGCACTTTGCCGTCAAGGATGCACACCGCATTACCCTCCACGGATTCAACACGTTGCAATCAAAGACCCAAGCTAATTGACGAAACAATTCATCCCATCTCCGACAGCGTAGCTTATTGGACCAAGCGCTGTTGGCAAGCACTTATTAGGGGCTGCGCAGCATACGAAAAGAACGTTGTGGCTAATACCACCTGTCCTGCACTCATGTGAATGGCACACCAAGTGATACCCGTCAACCCATTATCAGTGCACTACCTTATTACAGACCAATTCAGACATTAGTGGTCACCCCGTGCCCCTTATAATTCTCAACGTTCATCCTACAAAGTCACTATACACTACTCTACTATACACTACACTATACACTACACTATTACATACCTGTCAACCACTTATCAGTGCCCTACCTTATCACAGACCAAGTCAGATCTTATTGGTCACCCCGTGCCCCTTATAAATCTCAACGTTCATCCTACAAAGTCCCATCACAAGGCAGAAACACAAACAAATAGATACAAAAAATGTGTGTGCCCGTATTGAAACGGCTGTACGCCGTATGGACCTGAAAACTCAACTTCCCGGTACAAGAATACGGGGTAACCCGAATGGGTTGACAGCCTCGCCAGGTATACGTAATTAAGCGGAGCCAACTTAGTATATATTCCATTGATAGCGCTGCTGGTGGTTGTATGTTGTACGTATGTATGTTGAACTTCTTTCGCGGCGTAACTTAGCCAACTAAGACGGTGAAATTAACTGCGATGCTGTGTTTATCTACACACACAATACTGCACGCACAATTTGATAGACTGTTGGATGCAAGTGCTATTAGCAAGGACCTATGAGGGCCGGCGCGGAACACGAAAGGGGTGGGTGGCCAACACCACGTCCGTCCGCCTTTGTCTCCCTCGTGGCGATGTTTACTACACACCGCACCGGGTGCTCATTTGAGGCTGAGTCGACGTAGGGGAGGCCCAGGACCTGTTCAGATAACCGTCACCGGTGGTTGGCCGGGAGTAAGAATCGAACCCGGGTCGCCCGGTTCGCAACGCAGCGTAGCGCTAACCGCTACACTACCGCTCCCCACACTCGCAGACTCGCTCTCTCTCCTGCAGACGTATATAAAGACTGGGTTCCTCACAAGTCTGCAATTTGCAAGACGCTCAAAGAAAGCCACGAGGTCGTTCGTCGGAAGTGGATCGACGCGTCGATTTCGTCGATGAACATTATTTTGCCAAGCTCACGGCGATACCGTGCATCGGACCACACGTGCACGGATCAATGTTTAATTCTAGATTTGAAGCTTTCGTGACTGCAAGGATTCCAACGCTTTGGTTTTTTTCGGTAAAGTCACGTAGGTAAAATAAATGAAAACAACTCAATTAAATCACGACACTTGATGCAGCAATTTTGCTGTCACGGTTTCCACCTGAAGACGGAAGTTTGGTGTTGCCTCCGAAACGTCGTGATTTAATTGAGTTGTTTTCATTTATTTTACCTACTTGACTTTACCGAAAAAAACAAAGAGTATGAATCGATGTTTCTCTGTGCTTGTTTATTAAGTTAATCATTCAATCATTTATTTATTAAGTGAATCGATGTTTATTGATGT